GTGCAATGCAGGTACACTTCATGTACACCTGACATGCGTTGTGTTGTAAAAACGAATGCATGCCACAGGTTTAAAACCCATGCATGGCATGCATTTGTTTTTGCAACACAACGCATGTCAGGTGTACATGAAGTGTACCTGCATTGCACAGGGTTTAAAAAGATTCCGCTTTTCCTCACCAACCTCATTGCACGATTACAAGGATTGCAAAGTCTCTAGCATGAAATTGCTGTATATTTCGGACTGTTGGTTTAAGTTTTGCTGCTGCAAAGTCTTGTAGGTACCAAATTACTAGTGTCTCTCTATTGACTTACTTCTTTGTTGTTTGACTATCCTCTTACAGATGAGGTACGCACAGGTACGTATCGTCAGCTCTTCCACCCAGAACAGCTTATCTCTGGGAAAGAGGACGCTGCCAACAACTACGCCCGTGGTCACTACACAGTTGGAAAGGAGCACATTGACTCCGTCCTGACCAGGATCCGGAAGCTGGTGAGATGAGGCAAATCATTGCAAAATTGATTTTGTCATTTTCATGTTTTAAAAGCAATCTCAAGCGTATAAAAGTTACAGACGGTCTGCAAATTCTATCCATTTTCCTCCCAGTTCAGTTCAAATGTAGTAGGTCAGCAGATTTTTCTGGTGGACATGGGGGATTTTTGTTCACAATTTACAGCAGTTCCCAGGTGTCTTACCTGGCTGGCATGTGAATAATTTTCAGCACTGCAGTTTCAAATTAGCTTGCTTCACAACGTATTGAGGAAAATATACATTTTTACCATGATTGGTGTATCAATCTAACATAGCTTACCATTCCCGAATAGCTGCTCCAAGAAGCACATATAACAGCTTGGCCCACTTGAAAAATTGTCAGATTATGTTGATTACCACTCGGCAATGAACTTAACATCCACATTTAACGCTCCAAAATTCAGAATGTCTCACTCATCACAGACACACTCTGAGCAAACTCAGAGCTCACAAAGGTTAAACTTGGTCCTGCAATTTCAGACTTAATGAGTGGACAGGAGCTCCAGAGACACACATTTTGTTTTACATTTTATTCAAAAATCAGTTTTGGAGAATAGGTCACTCTGACAGAAAATAAAATACTCATTCATATATACCTAATGAGATTGTATTGCTCTCTCTCAGTCTGACCAGTGCACTGGACTCCAAGGTTTCCTGGTGTTCCACTCCTTTGGAGGAGGAACCGGTTCTGGCTTCACTTCTCTGCTGATGGAGCGGCTCTCAGTGGACTTTGGCAAGAAGTCTAAGCTGGAGTTCGCCATCTATCCGGCTCCTCAGGTGTCGACTGCTGTGGTGGAGCCGTATAACTCCATTCTCACAACACACACCACCTTGGAGCACTCGGACTGTGCCTTCATGGTGGACAACGAGGCCATCTATGATATCTGCCGCAGGAACCTGGACATAGAACGTCCGTCGTACACCAACCTGAATCGACTCATCAGTCAGATCGTCTCCTCCATCACAGCCTCGCTGCGCTTTGACGGAGCCCTCAACGTAGACCTGACTGAGTTTCAGACCAACCTGGTGCCCTACCCGCGAATCCACTTCCCTCTGGCGACCTATGCCCCGGTCATCTCAGCAGAGAAGGCGTACCACGAGCAGCTGACTGTGGCAGAGATCACCAACTCCTGTTTTGAGCCAGCCAATCAGATGGTGAAATGTGACCCTCGGCATGGCAAGTACATGGCATGCTGTCTGCTATACCGCGGCGACGTCGTGCCGAAAGATGTGAACGTGGCTATTAGCAACATCAAAACCAAGCGCTCCATCCAGTTTGTGGACTGGTGCCCCACCGGCTTCAAGGTGGGCATCAACTACCAGCCTCCCACTGTGGTTCCTGGAGGAGACCTGGCCAAGGTCCAGAGGGCTGTGTGCATGCTGAGCAACACCACGGCCATCGCGGAGGCCTGGGCTCGACTGGACCACAAGTTCGACCTGATGTATGCCAAGAGGGCCTTTGTGCACTGGTACGTCGGCGAGGGGATGGAGGAGGGGGAGTTCTCCGAGGCCAGAGAAGACATGGCTGCCCTGGAGAAGGACTACGAGGAGGTGGGCATCGACTCATTGGAGCAAGACGAAGATGAAGGGGAGGAGTATTAGAAAAGAAAGCCGATTAGCTTCATTTCTGATGTCGCCCATTTTAATGGCGGTTATGTTGTCAACAAATAAACAGTGACATGTTCATGCTTGTCTCAAGTACTTAAGAGCACAAGACCATCATGTTTGCTTGTCTTGAGTGTGACTCAGAGAGCATATTTGTGTCTTCTTTTCAAATAAAATCACTTACATTTGCTTCTGTTGCTTTCTTTATCGTGCATTGATAGATAACGTAGGTTAGAATGGACGACAGGCAGACAGACCATACGATACGATACGAAAATAAAAATTGCTGATAACAACCCATTTAAAAAGACGGTGGTAATAAAAAATATATTTACAACTAGTATCAATTGTGTGACCAAATAGTCAAACTCCATGTAGCTGTACATTATGACTACTGCCCTCCCTCCATATCTCACCCCAAGTCAGCTGGAATTTGATCCAACTCACCCGGGACCATGAACATTTAGGGGAAAAAAAATTATTCGGTGTATGTCTTTTGGGACGAACAGAAGGAGGCATGATGAATTTCTGCTGCAACAAAGAGGAAAAAATTTCGACCAAACTCAAAATGGCCAGAACTGAAGGTGCATGTTGCCGGTTTTTCTGTGCTTGCTCACTGGAGGAGACCTTCAATCTGGTTTTGTGATTCGCTCGAGCCGATGAAGGTTGCACAGATGGGAGATTTGTAAAGGTCACGAAAGGACGATGTGGAAAGGTAAATGTTAAATCCTGGGATGAGTTACTCTCTCTTGAATTGGAAAATGTAAAAGTGTGAATATGTCTTGTGAAGATACCAAAGTGGTTGTCATGACAACCCCTACACAGTCACACTGTTGATCTGTTTGGGTAAGTCAACATAGTCGTCTAGTGATTTTTTTTTTTTTTGTTCTCTGACATGAAGTCGGCCGTGAGCATCTAAGTGGTGCATTCAACAGCATTTTTTTTTCTTGCATTCAGTTTATTTACAGCAGTGTGATATCATTGTAGACATTTTCACACAATGCTCCTAATTCATATACCATTCACAATAAACATAAATTATTTGCACAACACAAATGAGACATTTTATGCAGAAACTCGTGTCGAGATTATCAGCTTCCATGTTCTTGTCTCACTATTGTCTATGTCTAGTTTCATTTTGTTTATTTGCATTTGTTTGGATCTGAATAAGTTGTCTGGTGAGAAAAGAGTTCGGATTCCCTCTTTAAACATTGCCATCAGTCATAATAGCTGTTGCCAGTCTGCATCTTTACGGAAACGACCAACAGAACTATAAATTTACTTTAAGTGTATTCTTATAGAAAAGGATAGCTTTAAAGAGCAACTCTCTTGTTACACTCACAATAATCTGTTAAAGGGCAATCAGCAATGTGACGTAAACATAAAAACATTAATGCACTAACTCCAAAGCTAAATACAGTAGTTCCACACTCACAAAAATGTAAACTCCAACACTGAGTGTCTTTAACATAACACACTGAACAAAATTCACATTCTGGAGACTCAGTCGACTGCTTTTAACCACTCTGCCAACAATAACTTATTAAAGTGCACACATTAACCATTATTGACCATTTTTGGTCTCACACTATGCACACAGTACTATATTTTTAAACAACACTTTTGAGGTTCTACTATGTACAAAGTAAAACAGGATCTAATGATATGAATCTCAGAGGAGGGCTATTATTTATTTGTTGTTGTTTTTTTTTTTTTTACCTTACTAAATCAGGGGTGACCAAACAAGCCAGGGGTCATTTATGGCACACTGTCCCTTTTTTCTTTGCAGCTTGCAGCCTATATTAACTACTAAAATTTGACATGGGATGCAATGTTATTTTTTTTTAAATGGTGAGGGGTGCATCAATGTATAAATGCTGGCTTGGTTTTAACATGCTAATACATTAAGTGTGATGAATGTTTAGCGGCCTTGGCATCCCTCAGTGTTTCTGTATGCTAAGTTTGGACACCCCTGCTCTCAGTCCTCAGTTACCTGTCCATCAAAAATTGTGCTAAGAGTATAAAACACACACACACACACACACACACACACACACACACACACACACACACACACACACTATTCCTTTGTGTAGTTCCTCACTCATCTTCAACGTCCCTGTCCAATAATGATGATGCATCCAACAGACAACCTCTAAAATAGCCAATCAAAGAGTGCCTCAGCTGAATCTGGCTGCGTCTTGACAGGAAGTGGCCCTCGTCAGGGTAGATCTGTCCCAGAAAGCAACAAGTAAATATCCTCCTGGGACTCTTTGCTCATGCTGTCTTTTCTGACACTTGTGGTACCTGCATGGTGTAGTTGGCTCCCACCCTGATCAAGTGCTTGATGAGCTCCGCTGAGTGCTGAAAGTGAACATTTGCTGGGGAAAAGAACACAACTGTTTACATCCATTGTGGGACAAGCGCTCAAAGCTCAGCAGAGCCATAACAGCCTGCATGTCGTAAATCTAACGGCAAAGGAAAGTGAAATGTGTGCACGTGTATGTGTGTGTCTACCATCAGCAGTCCCATGGGCGAGAAACAGAGTTCCTCCCTGCAGGCCTTTCATGTCTGGGAGAACTTTCGACATCTGTACAGACAAAAAACGATTTTTAATTCTTTAAAAGCAATTCCAAGCTTTGATTACCACATTTGGTGAATTGATTTTACTATACTACACATTGATTGTGAATATTTTATGCAAGAAAGAGGGACATGGTGCCTCAGAGGTGATGCTTGTGCAGAGGAAATGCACTATTGATGTAATTAAAAGTCAAATATCATTGTGGTGAGTCGAAAAAAATGTCTTGAAAAGTAAATAAATAAATAAACAGGTGGACACAACATGCGGCCATCTGACTGGAAATGAAAGCAAAATGGCAACAAAATTGGCACATCTGTTGTTTTTCTCGACCACATTCGCAGCCATTTTACATGGGTACGTTGCTCAGGGAGGATAGGAACAAAATCTCAAAGCACACAGCTGGGATTCCATCAGGGTGTAGAGAGCTGCTTCAAGGCACCACCATTCTTTCTTTCCTTTCCTAATGACTATTGTCCGTTCACCCTGTCCTCGGTCTTTGGATGTCACTTCAAGAGCAACCGCTCCTCCCACCGTCACAGAAATAGAGCACTCTGGCCCAATTCATCGCAACCCACTTAGAAGAAAAAAAAACTGTCTGTGAACTTCACTTTGTAGGCTGTTCCGTATTTCTGCAGACTCCACCTTATAACAGGGACACATTTGCCACATATTTGAATTAAAGACAACAACCCAGAATCTGTAGACAATTGTGCCCAAATGTCAGATACATTTTCTGTGCTGTCACACAGTGTACAAGGCAAGGTCCATAAAGGCATGCTTGAATTAGTTAGGTGTGGAAGAACTTTAAAGCCTTGGCTTCAAATCTCTTTTGGAAGAACTACAATGGAAATTGGTAGCTAGAAGCAGCTCACTTGATATCTGTTCTCCTCAGTTGAAGGCATGCCAAAATATCGCTCTGAGAATGCAGAAGCTGGAAGTAATAGAGAGGCAGACAAAAAAACAGGCAGTGCGTTAGATTCTCTTTACAGATAAAAAACACATCAACAAGGGAATTTTAGTCTGATCCACATTTGTGCTCTATGTGAAGGATCTGAATTGATCAGACTCACCATACATAGTCCAGTCAACAACAGGAGCCTGAGCTGCAGCGCATCGGATCATTCCCTCGGTGGACTTGATCAGCATTAGCGCCAGGTAACCACCATAGTCCTGCAGGAGGAATGTTACCATTGGAGCTGATTCCTGATTATCATTCACTTCAAGTTTTACTTGCACCTCAGATGGAAGCATTCTGTTAGGCTAAAGGTGATGTCATTAACAGGCGCAGGTCACCGAGCCCATCTGGTACCTACACTGTTGCTTGGCCGATACAGCAAAAAATGTGAATGCGCTTCAGACTGCCACACACTAGATGGCAGCAGCAAACTTATAACAAATTTACAACGTTCCCCAACTATTTTTATCAATTAGATGATGTGTATTTAGTTTGGGGTTATTCCCTGATCACGGTTTTATTTCTAACCTGTGTGTGTGTGTGTGTGTGTGTGTGTGTGTGTGTGTGTGTGTGTGTGTGTGTGTGTGTGTGTGTGTGTGTGTGTGTGTTTGGGGCCCTGTGGACAGTTGGAGAGCGGGTTTATCTCAATCCATGTAAAGCACTTTGAAGTGCATTCTGTTTATGAAAGTGTGTGTGTGTGTGTGTGTGTGTGTGTGTGTGGGGCCCTGTGGACAGTTGGAGAGCGGGTTTATCTCAATCCATGTAAAGCACTTTGAAGTGCATTCTGTTTATGAAAGGTCCTGCACAAATAAAGTTGATTGAATGATAATATCATTGATTCACAGTGATTTTCTTGCAACGGCAGGGCAATATCAATTTGTGGTGTTAATGCACTATGAAGCAAAGCACTGGTTTGCTAACTGCCAATAAACCGCAGAAAAGATGAACAATGAAGGACAAAACATTAGGTACAGTCATCATTTATGCTTGCAAATGTTTTACTAAGTACATAAGAAGCTGGAAAACTAGCTGCTTTTTTTCATGCGGTGGGTTCGATGATTGAGTTTGTGGTAGTATCATCGGATTTACGGCTGCATGTTTGGGACACACAGGTGAAGAGAGGGGCGGGGCTGTCAACTGAGTTGGCTCCAATGGTGGGGTAAGATGCCAGTCCGACCTGGTAGACCCTTGGCAGTGTCCTCCAGGGTGCATGGGAGTTCGCCAAACCAATCTATACATAATTTGTGGACTAGGAGAAGCTGTATGACCGTGTCCCTAGGGGAGTTCTGTGGGGGGTGCTGGGTACCAAACCCGCTGATACAGGCTGTTCGGTCCCTGCACCAGTGATGCCAGAGTTTGGTTCGCATTGCCGGCAGTAAATCGGATTCGTTTTCAATGAGGCTGCCCTTTGTCACTGACTCTGTTCATAGCCTTTATGGACAGAATTTCTTGATGCAGCTGAGGCATTGAGGGAGTCCGGTTTGGTGGCCTCAGTATTGCACCTCTACTTTTTGCAAATGATGTGGTGCTGTTGGATTCTTCAAGCCCGTATCTCCGACTCTCATTGGAGCGGTTCGCAGCCATGTGTGAAGCGGTTGGGATGAAAATCAGCACCTCGAAATCTGAAACAATGGTCCTCAGTCGAAAAACGGTGTGAGTGCCTTCTCTGGGTCGGGGATGAGATCTTATCCCAAGTGAAGGAGTTTCAGTATCTAGGGGTCTTGTTCACGAGTGAGGGAGAGTGACAGACAGATCAGTTCAGTGTCTGCTGTGATGTGGACATTGTATCGGTCTGTCATGGTGAAAAAGGAGCTGAGCCAAAAGACGAAGCTCTTGATTTACCAGTCAATCTACGTTCGTTCCCTCACCTATGGTCGCCTTGTGGGTCATGACCGAAAGAATGAGAATCCAGATACAAGTGATCAAAATGAATTTCCTCTACACTGTGTCCGGGCTCTCCCGGAGAGCTAAGGTGAGAAGCTCGCTCATCTGGGACGGGCTCAGAGTCGAGCCGCTTCTCCTTCACATCCAGAGGAGGTGGCTCGGGCATCAGATTAGCATGTCTCCTGGATGCCTCGCTGGTGAAGTGTTCCGGGGAGGCCCCAGGGACAACCTAGGCCACGCTGGAGAGACAATGTCTCCTGGCTAGCCTGAGAATGCCTTGGTATCCCTGGGACGAGCTGGGAGTGGCTGAGGAGAGGGAAGTGTGGGCTTCCGTGCTAAAGTTGTTGCCCCCGCGACCCGACACTGGATAAGCAGTAGAGAATGGACGGATGGATGGATGGAGATACACACGTTTTGACTTATGAATTTGAATGACTTAAACTTGTATCTCAAGGCACCATTGTACAATCAAGATGAAGAAATAATATGAGCAGTTCAGACCTCTCCAAAAATGCCAACCCTAGTTGGATCGATGTAGGGAAGCTTCACCAAGTACCTGGAGAGAAATGACTCATCAGTCCATCATGCTGTTTTCATGCTGATACCAAAATGAAGTCAAAAAGACATCAGTTCAACCCAAAAGGCAGAAATCCTTAGATATTCATCTTGAAAACAAAGGGTCCTCGGGAGAAAAAAAAAGAAGAAATTAAAAATCATGCTAGCCTGCTTGAAGTTTGTTGTCCAAAATGTCTCCACAATTACGCACTGAATATTTAACTTTTTCTTTTTCTTCTTTTCTTCTTTTTATTTTTGCTTTATTCTTAAAATGAGTACATACGTTAAAGCTGCTATCTGGTCCTCAACGTCCACCTGCCCAATGTTATGGTGGAGCTGATGTAACATCCTGTGATGTGAAGGCCATCATGAGCTGTGCATTGTACTGGACATTACATGTGCATCATTAAAATGGAAGAAAAAAAATAATGACAAACCTTTGACCTTGGAAGGCAGAACCCCGACCGTCGAGCCGGGCCACAATCACCTGCTCCGAGCCCACCAGCACCCAGTCCCAGTTCAGCCTAAATTCCTCCGTGACTGCCTGATCACCAGGAGAGCTGCCTCTGTTGGAACAAAGCCATGTTAGCGGACAAAGACAAAATAATGTCCTGTGAACAGCAAAAAAATATCATGATTTTTGTATTCGAAAAATAACTGCAGTTAATTGTGGTTTTTTTTTCTTTCTCAAACCGCTTAATGGCACAATGGATTGATTAGTAGGAGGTAACCTCTGCCCGAGCTATTAGCAGGATTGCCACTAACAAATTACAATCAGTGCTAATGATTATAAGATGTGCTTAAAATAGCTATTTTACCACAATTTCACAGATTTAAAATTGAAATATTCAGAAGGCTGTATGGCTGGAACTCTAAAGATCTGATATGAAACGTTACAGTTATTTTGAGTCGATTTGTGGGATGCTCAGCCTGCAGCCATGGTGGCACATGAGAGAGTGTGAAGGTCAGAGTAGATGGTGCAGTGAATGTAAACGCGGTCCTCACACAATGAGCAGAAGGCCGTAGAGGAAGGACTCTGAGAAGTCAAGAGGAAGGATGAGCTTCAGAGGCAGTTCTATACGAGAGAGCGCACACGCTTGTAACTCCATCTCGCATTATGATATACACCTTTGCATGCACATTTCATTCCTACCATAGTTGCTGTGATGGACAGTGTGAATTCGGGATTGAACCATTCTTTTGGTGGACAGCATCGACCACAGAGGATGATTGTTCTCCAGAATGAAATAAGCTGATGGAAGATGAGCATAAAAAAAACAAATAAGGAAAAAAGAAAATAAATGGACAATAAAAGAAAATTTCTGAAAAGTAGAACTCAATTGTTGGATTCATTTGTCTCTTTTCTTTGGGTCTTTAATCATAAAGCGTGATGTGAACTGTAAGGTGTGGAAAAAGTATTAAGTTTGAGTTGGTACCCCTGCACTTTTCCGGAAAGAGCTCTTGCAAGATTTCGATTTTTGTGTCTGTGGGAATTAATGTCCATTCATCCAGAACAACAATTGATTAGGGGTTAGTGATGGCTCGCCATTTCTGTTCAAGTTCATCTGAAAGGTGTTTGATGGGTTTGAGGTCAGTGCTCTCAAGTTCTTCCACACCAAACTCAAGTTCCAGCATGCCTTTTTGAACCTTGCTTTGTGCTCTATGGCATAACTGTCCAAAGAAAATTTTGATTTAGGGGGTAATAGCTGCGGTTCAATGATCAATTTTCAAGCAGTTTTATCATTGAATTTGTAAATTGGTGCTGAAAATCAGTGTTTGCTATGAGCGCTCATTTTAAATGAATTGATTGATGAATTGATTAAGACGTATGTCCAGATACTCTTCTCAGTACTGGGCTTTGCACAAAATGGCATCCAGTCATGCAAACATTTGTCTGTCTGCATGAAAACACTCACAGTCCACCTCGTCCAAACTAAGAAGCAGGACCGATGGAACTCCAGGACCTATGAGTGACACAGGTGACAACAAAAGCAGACAAGGTAAAAAGTGTCTCTTGTGATGTAGAAAACAATGCCTTCATCAACATGTCATCTCCATGAAAAGAGGTCACCATCAAGATGATGGTGAGAGATTTGCCTTTGCAATGCAGGATGGCGTGCTCCGCGTCAGGGCTGATGTTAGCCTCAAAGAAGGTGCACGCCTCACGCAGTCCACAGGTGAGGCACTGTCGTGGAAATGCGCCCAGGGTGGACACACTGACAGGGAGCACATGTGCATGTTGGAAGAAGGAGGAGCCAAAAGACAAAAGAAATCAGAAGTGCAATGAGTGCAAAAACACTGCAAAAAAAAAGGTGCTTTGGTTCCATTGGAGTTACTTAATTCGGACATGTAAATCAGTTGCGCATGACTAAAAGAGGTTAAATTAATAGAGATCATTTGAATATATTTGAGGAAAAGAGTAAAAAAATGACATCAGTTGAGCACATTTTACCACTGTGCAACAGTAAGTTAAGTACTTTGTTTTTGATAGTTACCTATATAAATGCCTCTGTTGTGCAGAAACCTCTGTGCTCAGGAAGTATCTGAGTGGATGACATCAGCTCATTTACATCTTATAAGCAGGGCAATTCATACTTTCTTCTTCTTCTTAAAAAAAATATAAAAGTCAAAGAACGCCAGGGCCACTGCCATTCACCTTTAACTTACTTAGCCAAATCATCGGTGTAGGTAAACATGTGAAATGAACATACATTGATTTTATATGAATTATATTTATATGTAAAGTATACAAACAGGATGTCTCAAAATTCAATCTCCAAGTATCTTTCAGGAGTTTTGATTGGCCAGCAGCTCCGGATCCCGAAAGAATAAATCCGCCCTTGTTCCTCAGCAGCAACAGAATCACATTTCCAAAACAAGAGCAATCACGACTGCTGCTCTAACTGAATCATATTTATTAATCAGATAAGGAATCATAAAACTTTAATTGGAAATTTTTTTTTTTTGCGCTGCTCAGTCCCCTTTTATAATAATCAAACACACCAGTGAAAAGGAGAAATAAACACATAAGAAACATACATGACCTGCTTGTTTTCATCATAAGACACAATTTGCGTCACCTCCCAGGCGCCGGACGTTATGTGTTCAATCTCATCCTCGTTGCTTTGGAGCTAAGAAACAACACAACAGCTTCCCTTATGATTGATTCTGTTTTTACATGTTGTCCTGTTTAATTTCCGCACCTTTTTGGTGAACATGGTGATGTGGTGGAAGTCACCTTGACCTCCTTGTCTCAATGGAACGGCAAGAAAAAACCTGGTTGTGTCTTTATCAAACAGAGGCTCCTGGTTCTGCTGGAGAGTGGGGGGTGTGGGGGTGGGGGGTGGACTCTTTGTGATGCCCTTAGAGGAACGTGAAGAGGTGGCAATGGCAACACTGCAGACTTACCTGCCTGGAGATCCATGAATCTGAAGAGTCCTCATGCCACTGAAGCCCAAATTAAAGTGCAAGTTAAACACATAACCGTGGTGAGCACAGTGCTCTCTTTGAATCGGTATTGTGTTTGACAGGAACAAAGTGGAAGCAAGGATGTTGACATCAGTGTAAAAGTATCATTTGCTAAATCTCAAAAGTCAACTCGAAGCTAATGTGAGGCATGCAATCCTGTGAAACGTGAGTGGAATGAGAAGCACGCACCGCAAGACAGACTCCTACGGCCGCATCGCACACTGTCAGCACTGATGCATTCTGGGCCCGAGTGAGCCAGCGCACGGCCAGGTGCGTGTTACTGATCCACTTCACCATGGTGATATAGAAATCCCTGCAGATGAGGAGCCCAGAATGGAATGAGACAAAGGGTTTAGTGGTTGATGGATTTATGACTTTGATTGGTGTTACCGTAGGCTGAGCTGATAGGGAGGATGCAGCTCCACAGAGTGCGTTACCCCAAAAAGATTGACTACAGACAGCTTGACCGCAGGGTTTGTCTGGCCGGCCTGATGGAACATTTAGAACAATACTGTAGATCAGTGGTTGATTTACACTAAGTACCACCGAAAAAAATAACATTTCACGTAACATCATCATAACTAAAGTAGGGTCGCCATGTGCTGATTTTAAAACCAATTTAATGGCAATGTAAGCCTCTGCAACACAGTTTGAGAATCAACACTGCAATCAAATACAGGTATCGGAAGAAAAAAAAACATGTAAACTCGAAAAACATAATAATGCAGTTAAAGCACGATATGCCGTATATGTATATATATATATATATATATATATATAATAATTTGTATTATTTTTATCCAAATCATTTCCATGGACATCAGTTATCTGCAAGTTTTGGCCATTTGTGGGCCAGGCTGGTCCCAATCCACCGCAAATAGTGGAGTTCCGACTGCTCAGTCAATAAACAAAATGTTT